GGGAAACGAGGGGTTCCTGGGGTCGTTTGTAGCAACTTTTTCCTTAGCGAAAATGTTCTACGATGCTTCGTTCACGAGTTATTAAAGAAAAACACTGACCGATCAAAGACGAGCTCGGTTGGCGCAAGGCAGCCGAGCCAATCAGCGGATCCGGGCTTCGCGCGCTCGCAGGCTCGGCCGTCTCGCGCCAATCGAGCTCGCCTCTGATTGGTCACTGTTTTTCGTCGATAACTCGTGAACGAAGCCTCGTAGAATATTTTCGCCGAGGAAAAAGTTGCTTCAAACGGTCTCGGAAACCCCTCGTTTCCCGGAAATATCATAATTTTGGAACACCCTGTGTATCCGGCGCTCGGCCGCACAGGTGATCAGATGGATGCCGAAAGGGTTGAACCAGTCGATCGGAGTTGTTCCTCGTGGAGCACCGGGCCTCTCGCGAGCACGATTCGGCTTGGAACCGATTTCCAGGATCGTTCCCAGCGGTAGCGGATATATCCGGCGCTCGTATCGAAAGGGCGAAACAACGAGTCGCGGTTCCAGCAAGTCGAGATCCGGTCGTTCGCTCCCGTCGCTCAAAAGATTCTCGAGTTCTCGAGATTCCCCGGGTTTCCCCGAGTCTCGCGCGTCCTTCCAGCCGTTCTTCGTTCCATCCTCCGCTTCGACGGACTAACGATCGAGTCTTCGAGTCGTTGTCACCGCGGTTCGCACACAAGGGAAATATTTCCGGGGGTGTTGTTCGCGGATTACGACACAGGGAACAAGCTGTTTCGTGGTGGGATTCCTCTTATTTCACGGCCGGTGGATGGCGCGAGCCAGATAGCCGACAGTAATCCTAGGCTTTCAGCATTTCACCGTGAATTTCATTTTTGGTATATTATCAGCTAACTGCAAATTGGAGTACACGATCCCCGGGCGGTTGTGCCGCACCCTCGTCTCGCTCCGCCTCGCCTCGCCTCGCTCGCTCGCTCGCTCGCGATCTTCGCTTCTTTATACGCCTCGCACGCTAATGAGTTTCGAGGATGGCGCGCGAGCGCTGCTCGAGTTTACCATTTGCCGGCCCCGCCGTACCCTTTCATTATTTCCGCAGATTCATCCCGGAGCCTCGGTGCTCCATTAATTAATCATAATTACGTGTCGCAAGGCCGACCGGCGACCACGCGAAACACCAGGAATTTATTTCAACCGAGCCTCTACCCGGCCGCCTACCGCGACCCATCGTATTTTAATTGTCCGCGACGAATCAATTTATCGAGCAATTTCAGAAAGTTACCGCGATTAGCCTCCCCCTCGCTTTCTCTATCTCTCTTTCCCTCTCTCTCTCTCTCTCTCTCTCTCTCTCTCTCTCTCTCTCTCTCTCTCTCTCTCTGCCCCCCCCTCTGTTTCTGTCTACCGCTCCGGTGGTNGCGGCTCGGGTAAATTATCCAAATTAAAACGCGCTACAGCTGGCCGACCGAAACCGGCAAATCAGCGGGAATTCATCGGAACGGGGAAGAAACAATAATCGCGTCGATCGACGCGCCGGTTTATCGGCGCGCGCTCCGCGTTTATCGCAGTTTAATCGGCGCGCGCGCGCGTCACTTCGCAGCTTCGGGAGCGAAACGTGGATTTGCACCGATTCCCGTCGGTTGATCCGGTCATTTCAATTGCGGCCGATCAACGGGCTGTTGCAACGAGTCGCGATTCGTGGGTTCGCCATTTTTATCAATTGTTTATCGACGCTGGTATTTCGCTCGCAACGGAGCGCGCTTTTCGACGATATCGGCGCGGCGGAAATATTGGGTTGTCCGGGAAGTTCGTGCCGATTTTCGGTAGGTAGCGTGAGAGACCTGACCGAATATATCACAATTATTGAAAACAAATGACATTTGTACATATTCTAAAAGAGATAACTTCAGCCATATTTGGAAAAAAGCTTGGCTACGATTCGTTAATTTTTATCAGTTTTGTACGCCTTAGAATATGGTGGCGAACAAAGAGCATCATAGGCATTTAATGCTTTTCTTTTTCCGAAAGGGAAAAAATGCCACACAAGCGGCAAATAAGATATGCGCTGCTTATGGCGAGGTTGCTGTAGCCGAAAGAACTGCGCGGAAGTGGTTTGCTCGGTTTAAAGCTGGAAATCGAGAATAACCCACGCTCAACATCACGTCGATTAGCAGGAATGCTAAATAAATCAAAATCAACCATCCACGATCGTACTGCGAAGCTTGGCTCCAATGTTTAAATGAGCCGCGTTTTAATTTTCCTAAAAAATCGGCACGAACTTTCCGGACAACCCAATATCATCTGCGATTCGCGGAGACGTCGAATCGCGGCCGACCGAAAAGAATTCGGAAACGAACGCGGGATATAACCGCGTCCGGAAATTGTCGACGACGCAGACGGTTCGTCGCGCGGAACGCTTAGGAAACCCGAGACAAAGCGGGGGAATCATAATCGACCGAACTCGGACGGAGAACGAGGAGAAGTTGGCGGACACGGATGATGAGTTAACTCGACTGCCGGCGGTCGAAAGGTTAAAGTAACTTCGGCGAACGTTTCCGGAGCAGCGGGTTTTCGGTGGAATCCGCGGCGCGGGGAGTCGCGCGAAATGAAAGGATAAAAAGATCCGAAAGTATTTACGACGCGCGGTCGCCGAACGGAGGACGGAGGACGAAGGACGAAGGACGAGGCCGGCCTGCGCTCGCTCCGAGATAAAGGGCCGGCAAATTGCCGACATTCCGCGGGAACAATCATGCTGCTCGCGCGAGAGGACGAACGAGCGTTTTGTAGCGCGCGCGAACGGCGCAGTTTCCGGGTTTTATTATTATTCCCGCGTATTAACGAGGAAACGGTGTATCCTTTCGTTTTTATCAGCGGCTCGCCGGTTGCGGCCGCGTAAACCCTGATCGATGCGGCCGATCGTAAACGCGACCGCGTTCGATTCGAACGATCGAGACTGCGTCCGCGCGGGCAGGGCGGGCGGCCCCGAGCTTTCCCCGGCTTCCGGTTATCCGCGACGGCTTCCTCGGCAGCTCGACGATGTCCGGCCGGCGTCCTTTCCCATGTAGGTTAAACCAACAAGCCGCGAGCCAGCCAATTCTTTTAGCCGCCAATTCCTTCGAGATTCTATTTGCTCGGGAAAACATCCGCGGTAATTCTCGTTTCGGGACGAGGCAGCGGGACGATGCAGCGATCGACAGACATCCTCCGGAAAATACCGCGGTCCTGTTTCTTATCGTTCCCCGGAAACCATTTACGCGACGTTCCAAGGCGCGCGGCGCGCGGCCCGCCTGCCATTTCCCGGCCCCGTCCGACCAGAGAGGCAAAGCGTCGACGGGACCTCGAGTATCGCTCCCAGTCGAGTCGTTCGTTCTTCCTCATCGATTATACCCGGCTTTTAATTCTCTCGAACGCGCCGCCGCTGCTGGAAGTTGCCGGGCGAAATCGGTCGGATCGTTTCCGTTTTACGATCGCGAATACGCGGCTCCAACTTCGTCGGCCGACGCCGTCCGTTCGAGTCGAGGGGGTGGCTCGGAAAGCTCCCGCGGCGTTCGGAAACTAACGCGGTGTTCGGATCGTGCACGGACCATTCTAAAACGATACGGAAGAAAGAGGACGCGAATAACAGGAAGGAAGTCGAAATTATTCCGCGGAACGGCTAAAACGCGTAATCATCGGCGTGTCCTACTTCGGAGCAACCAGGTTTTACCCGGCTCGTTCGCCGATTCTACGCCGAGAACGAACGTCTTTTGAAATTCCACGCGCAATCTCGGCGCATCGATTTTTAATCATTTATTTATACGTATTTGTTCCGTTCTTCCCGACGAATCTCGCCCGACGCTGTTCCATTCCCAACGTCGTGGATACGACGATAACGATCTCTATTCTACGCTCGTGCTGCAGAAAAATCGTCGACTGTTTTAAAACAGGCATGAAACAAAGACGATGAATTTGACTCCGTTAGGGTGTCAATGAAAGATGTTGCGCAAGCTCGATGCACTTGTCTAGGTCGCGTAGACTCGAGAAACGTAGGATCAAAAGCGCGGAAGCGAATCGTCCGCGATTACAGTATGTCTCCCTAATTGACGCTCAGATTGTCCACAAAAATGGACAATTTGGGAAGAAGAGCCTAACGAATTCGAGCCTCGCGACTCGTTTTTATAGTTACCGATTTTCAACAATTATAAAAACGAGCTGCAAGGCTCGAATAATCGTATCTCCTCTTCCGAAATTGTCCACTTTTGTGCACAATTAGGGAGACATTACTGTAGACCGCGGATCTTTGCGCGTTTACGGAGAAAATGGGCCGATAAAATCGAACACAGCGAAAAGACTGAAAGAAACTAAAAATTTTGAAACCAACTTCAACCAATTAAAACGATTAAAAACAGAAATAAGATTATTCTTGGCACCTGTGTCTTTTTTATTTAACCCATTGACTGCCACGCAAATTTAGCGCGTCTTGCCCTGGGTGCCACGGTTTTATTTAAAAGAAAACATGAAGTTTTTCGAAATATAATAATATTAAGTTACCGATATAATATTGCAATGGCATTTACAATATTTTTATTGAAAAAAAAATCAATATGTTCTCTACACTGTATACATTTTTCATTGATCCTTTCTAATAGTTCCTAATTCAAATAGCCATTTGTAGCCAATCTAAACTCGCAGCACCCGCTACGAGATATCTCGTAGCTGGCAGTTTTGATACAGACGCTTACTACGAGATATCTCGCAGTTGGCAGTTAATGGGTTAACCGGCGCAGACAATTTTTATTTCGCGCAAAGATCCACGGTGTTAGATCGCGACACACCGGACCCAAACGTCGCCTCTCGGTCCACCAGGAAAAGGCGGTCCCGTAATATCGATTCGATGTTTTCGCACCCAGGCACCATGTTGGAACCTAGAGCAGCGGCAGCGGTGGGCCAGTCGGGCCTGATGTCCCTGTACGACGCGATGTTCGCGCAGTACGGCGTGAAGCTGGCCCAAGTGCTGGTCACAAAGCCGGACTTCTACAACGAGGAGACTCGCAAGAATCTGTTCAGCACGCTCAGCGAGCTGATCAGCTTGAACGTCGTGCCGATCATCAACACCAACGACGCGGTGTCCCCGCCGTGGCAAACGAACGAGGAGCACGCCGGCGGAGGCGGGAGAAGAGGCATCCCGATCAACGACAACGACTCCTTGGCCGCGATGCTGGCCGCGGAGGTGCAGGCCGACCTGCTGATCCTGATGAGCGACGTGGACGGGATCTACAACCTGCCGCCGTGGCAGGACGGCGCGAAGATGCTGCACACTTTCAGCTCCGACCTGCGGGGCACCATCAAGTTCGGGCAGAAGTCGAAGGTCGGCACCGGAGGCATGGACTCCAAGGTGAACGCTGCCCTCTGGGCGCTCGACCGAGGCGTCTCCGTCGTCATCTGCAACGGCATGCAAGAGAAGGCCGTGAAGAGCATCCTGGCCGGCAGGAAGATCGGCACCCTTTTCACCGAGACCACCGGCTCCAGCACTCCCGTCGAGGTCGTCGCCGAAAACGGTAACACGACGGCTCGTTTCGAGCATTCTATTTTTTCATTTGTCGCACAGGGTGTCGCAAAAATGTCTCGCGATCTGGAAGTGAGAGCTTCTCGAGGTCATTTCCAGTAACTTTGTCCTTTGCGAAAATGCAATCCGCGGCTTCGTTTACGAGTTATCAACGAAAAACACCGACCAATCGGAGATCGACTGCGGCCGGCGCTCCGTCCTTGCGGCCAATGCCGCGTCGCGCCGGCCGTCTGACGCAGCGGCAGTGGTCGCGAGGGCGGAGCGTCAGCCGTACGCGATCTCTCATTGGTCAGTGTTTTTCGTTGATAACTCGTAAACGAAGCCTCGTAGAACATTTTCGCTAAGGAAAAAGTTACTTCGAGCGACCTCGGGAATCCGTCATTTCCAGATTGAGCGACATTTTGGGACACCCTGTATATTCATTATTTATTTAAACGGTGGCCAATCTTCTCGATAAACCCGAGAATGTTCGAGCACTTGGGAGAACTTGCCAGAAAGATGAAATACGCTCGAACATTGCAACACCTGTTCGTTAATACGTTATTCAAGATATTTGTCGACAGCTTGTTAACAGTTTCAATTTGTGCTTTATAAAGTTTTTACGGTGCGGTGGTTTTCGAAACAATCCCGTATCCGTACAAATAACCAACATCACGCGCGACACGGGCTTTCGATAGTTGTTCTATTCGACGCACTTGTACAATATGCAGTTGCTGCAAGCATTTCGGAACTCCGATAAATAATATTCTCCACCACCTGTTCGATTTTCGCGCGAAGCTGTACGCATTCCTTATAATTAATTACTGCGATCGAACGTGTCCATCGCACTCTTTATATTTTGCGTTGCACTTGCATACCCAAGTACTCGACAATGCCTTCAGCTTTCCAAGAAGCGGCGCAAACATTTTTGAGACGTCGGAAGGATTTATGTTTTTTATGTTATTTCCGAGGGAATTATGTTTTTTCCCAACTTTTTCGTTCGAGCCTGTAACGAAAAATTGAAAAAAAATGCATTTCGTACGCGCATTTTTACACGCGAAAGGCATTTTTTAAATGTTTGTTGCAAGCTTGGATAAAAAGAGATAAAAAAAGGCTCTCGTTTTTCACGTTTTTCGTCATTTCGATCGATCGCAAGTTTTAAAAACATCTTTCCAGCCGTAGTCGAGCAAACCGATCTCTCCAACGTCTCGAAAAAGATTTGCATCGGTTGGCCCGATTATAAAAAAATTTGTTCCGTTTTAACCCTTTGCGGATGAAGCCGCTCGACGGGTGAGCGTCGCTGTGGACGACAGGTATTGGATATAAAATAAAAATGTTATAAGATATGATATAAGATATAATAAGATATAATAAATATAATAATAATAATAATAATATAATATAATATAATAATATATATATAATAATATAATAATAGTATAATATAATAAGATATAATACCTACGGTTAAATTAATAAATTTATATTAACAATTAATAAATTAATAAAAAAAACGGTAAAAAGATTTAAGCGGCTATTTGCCGACACTCGTCCGCAAAAGGTTAAAAGCCCTTCGAACGCTTTCGGCGGATCGCCGTCCGCGAGGAGTTCGCGTTGGATTGCGGCTGTTCGCGAGCCGAGAAACAACCGCGCGTCTCGCGGCGGTGAATGGAAGGCGATCGCTCCGAAGCTCCGTTGACCGGAGCCACTCCTGCGATTGCGGAGGGAGGACGCGGTCTCTCTTTTTACTCGCGACGGAGTATCGACGGAGCTCGCCGTAGAAATGGTCGGGAGCCGAAGAAAAAAAGTGAGGCTCGCCGTGGCGTACGCGGCGCGGTTTTTGTCGACGAGGGTTCGGTCTCCCGCGTCATTTTGTTCTACCGACCATAGGAATATAGGTCATCGATTATCGAAGGTAGAAATTAAACGGCTTACGGTTGCCGTATCGTCGCCGTTGTACAATTATCCGCGACGCGTACCACCCGGCTCTCCGTGTCATAGAAAGACTCGCATTATTCGGCGCCATATTTAATTCAGCCCGGCCGTCACCGCCGCCGCGTCGTCGTCGTCGTCGTCGTCGGTTCGCATTCAGAGCTAAGTGAAAAGAAAAGTAGTTGAATATTCTCAAGCGGAGAAGTTCTCCGCGAAAACATCTTCCTCCCCGCCAGTGTTCCGCACCGCACAATTCCGATCCGGTTTCATTAAAACTTCTTCTTCGACGGCAAAACAAGCCTCGGCCACCCGTAATCTCGCCCGACGATTCCAAAAACGCATCCTCGTACAAAAAAAAAGAAACGCACCTCGGCTCCGTTGAACCGCGACGGTCGCAACTTTCAGCTCGCGTGGGCAGCAGAACTCTTCAGGCTCTGCGGCCCGAGGAGCGAGCGGGCTGCATCAACGCTCTGGCCGATCTGCTCGAGTCCCGGCAAGCCGGGATCCTGGACGCGAACGCGAAGGACCTCGAAGAGGCGAAGAAGAGCGGCCTGGCGGACGTCCTGCTCTCCCGGCTCTCCTTGACGCCCGCGAAGCTGAAGTCGCTGAGCTCCGGGCTGCGGCAGATCGCGGACGATTCCCTGACGAACGTGGGCCGCGTGATCCGCAGGACCATGCTGGCCGAGGGCCTGGAACTGAAGCAGATCACGGTGCCCATCGGCGTGCTGCTCGTCATCTTCGAGTCGAGGCCCGACAGCCTGCCGCAGGTGGCGGCCCTGGCCATGTCCAGCGCCAACGGTCTGCTTCTGAAAGGCGGCAAGGAAGCTGCTCACAGTAACAAGTACGTCGCCAAACTTCGTTCCCGAATTTGTCCCGGAACGCGTTTCTCCGTTGCTTTAGCTTTCAGATGCTCGAGTATAAAAACGGAGATCCGTAAATCTATTGGGTCGAAGAATAAGTTCGTAGCGTTTTTATATTTTCTTTTATTTTGCAACGATTTTTTGCTGTTCGACAAAGCGTATAATATTCAGTCGATAGAGCTCTTTCCGCTCTACAAAACTGTGCCTGTCTCTTATACACATCTACATGCGGTCATAAACAGCGCTTTTTGTACCGAATCGTCACGGGAGATGAGAAATGGTGCCTATAGACGTGCTGTAGACTCGCCTATGACACCTTCTCCGTACACGTTGCAAATATCCCGGGCTGCTTCGGCAGCTTTTTTTGGCCTCGATGAAAAGCGAAGAAGAGAAGGTGTCGAAAACGTTGCTTTTAACGTCGTGGATATTGCATTTCTAAGCCTGTCTCTTATACACATCTACATGCGGTCATAAACAGCGCTTTTTGTACCGAATCGTCACGGGAGATGAGAAATGGTGCCTATAGACGTGCTGTAGACTCGCCTATGACACCTTCTCCGTACACGTTGCAAATATCCCGGGCTGCTTCGGCAGCTTTTTTTGGCCTCGATGAAAAGCGAAGAAGAGAAGGTGTCGAAAACGTTGCTTTTAACGTCGTGGATATTGCATTTCTAAGCCTGTCTCTTATACACATCTACATGCGGTCATAAACAGCGCTTTTTGTACCGAATCGTCACGGGAGATGAGAAATGGTGCCTATAGACGTGCTGTAGACTCGCCTATGACACCTTCTCCGTACACGTTGCAAATATCCCGGGCTGCTTCGGCAGCTTTTTTTGGCCTCGATGAAAAGCGAAGAAGAGAAGGTGTCGAAAACGTTGCTTTTAACGTCGTGGATATTGCATTTCTAAGCCTGTCTCTTATACACATCTACATGCGGTCATAAACAGCGCTTTTTGTACCGAATCGTCACGGGAGATGAGAAATGGTGCCTATAGACGTGCTGTAGACTCGCCTATGACACCTTCTCCGTACACGTTGCAAATATCCCGGGCTGCTTCGGCAGCTTTTTTTGGCCTCGATGAAAAGCGAAGAAGAGAAGGTGTCGAAAACGTTGCTTTTAACGTCGTGGATATTGCATTTCTAAGCCTGTCTCTTATACACATCTACATGCGGTCATAAACAGCGCTTTTTGTACCGAATCGTCACGGGAGATGAGAAATGGTGCCTATAGACGTGCTGTAGACTCGCCTATGACACCTTCTCCGTACACGTTGCAAATATCCCGGGCTGCTTCGGCAGCTTTTTTTGGCCTCGATGAAAAGCGAAGAAGAGAAGGTGTCGAAAACGTTGCTTTTAACGTCGTGGATATTGCATTTCTAAGCCTGTCTCTTATACACATCTACATGCGGTCATAAACAGCGCTTTTTGTACCGAATCGTCACGGGAGATGAGAAATGGTGCCTATAGACGTGCTGTAGACTCGCCTATGACACCTTCTCCGTACACGTTGCAAATATCCCGGGCTGCTTCGGCAGCTTTTTTTGGCCTCGATGAAAAGCGAAGAAGAGAAGGTGTCGAAAACGTTGCTTTTAACGTCGTGGATATTGCATTTCTAAGCCTGTCTCTTATACACATCTACATGCGGTCATAAACAGCGCTTTTTGTACCGAATCGTCACGGGAGATGAGAAATGGTGCCTATAGACGTGCTGTAGACTCGCCTATGACACCATCTCCGTACACGTTGCAAATATCCCGGGCTGCTTCGGCAGCTTTTTTTGGCCTCGATGAAAAGCGAAGAAGAGAAGGTGTCGAAAACGTTGCTTTTAACCTCGTGGATATTGCATTTCTAAGCCTCGAAAGACGATTACTCGAAAAGGCGATTAGCACAATTTTGTAAAGTAGAAAGAGCTCTATCGAACGAATATTATACGCTTCGTCGAACAGCCAAAGATCGTTGTAAAATAAAAGAAAGTATAAAAACGCTACGTCCTTATTCCCCAACCTAATACTAATTACATCGGGAACCGGCTCCCCGGTGCTCCGCCTGTAACGGCGCTTCAAAGTTCGACTATAAAACGCGCGGGGACTTTTTACAACGAGCCAGCCTTTTTAGCGCGGCTAAAGCAAGATGTGGTTAAATATAACCTTCGAAGATCGCGCCATCGCGCCGATCTTCTTTTTATTTCTTTCTTTTTTAATTTACGACGAGGCCCCAACGCGGAAGGACGAGAGGAATCGAAGAGGATCTCGCGGCGTCTCTCTAAAATTGCGTCTTTTTGCTAAAATTGCGAACGTTCCAGATACCTGATGGACCTCGTGAAGGAGGCGCTGAACACCGTGGGCGCCTCGAACGCGATATCTCTGGTCTCGACCAGGGAGGACGTCGGGGATCTGTTGTCGATGGAGAAGCACATCGACCTGATCATACCGCGAGGCAGCTCCGACCTCGTTCGCACCATTCAGGAGCAATCGAAGCACATCCCGGTGCTCGGCCACGCGGAGGGCATCTGCCACGTGTACGTGGACAAGGAAGCGGACTTGGCCAAGGCGACCAGGATCATCCGGGACGCTAAATGCGACTACCCGGCCGCCTGCAACGCGATGGAGACGCTTCTGATTCACGAGAGTCACATGAAAGGCACCTTCTTCTCCGATGTCTGCAACATGCTGCAGAAGGAAGGAGTGAGTTGACCATTTTGATGGATCGCGTTCGCCGATGCCTCCCCAAGACGCCCATTAGGGTCATCTCCCAGTGCGCGCGCGCGCGTCGCGCATCCCTGCTCCCTCTAGAGGACTCGCATCGCTCAATCTGTACACTGATTAGTAATTAACTCGGCCCGCGTCCCGAGTCGGTTCATGTACCTTTCGACGGGTTTGAAAACTTCGCACGCTGTTCGCGATGTTCCCGATGAATTCTTCTTTGTTTCCAGTGTTGGCACGCGCGTCGACGATGCGCGCGCCAATTTTCAGCTCTCGAGTCATTGTTGTTCGTCTTTGACGGCTAAAAAATCGGTAACGCGTCGTTTTGGCTGGCTTCAACGAGTACGGTAAATTCTCCCGAATTTTCCTTCGGCTTGTAAACGAGAATGGACGATTTGGGAAGAGGAGACGCGATTAGTCCATTTTTGTTTACAAGCTGCCAGAAAAATCAGGGAGAATTTAGCGTAACTCGCAGCTAATTCCAAGTCAAAAACGAAATCGGCGCAGTTACAACTACAGTAATGTCTCTCTAATTGACGCTCAGATCGTCCACGAAAATGGGATACTAGGAGATACTATTATCTATATTACTATATTATATATATTACTATATATTATATTACATTATATTACTATATTATATTACTATATTACTATAATAGGACATGCTATTGTTCGAGCCTTGCGGCTCGTTTTTATAGTTGTTGACAATTTATAACTATAAAAACAAACCGCAAGGCTCGAATAATCGTATCTCCTCTTCCCAAATTATCCATTTTAGTGGACAATTTGGGAAGAGGAGACACGATTATTCGAAATTATTTAAATTGAGAAAAATGCGTTTTGTAGATCTCGGTAAGTTGTATGCTTGTTGAAAATTTCGCCTGAAATCGGTAGTTCTTGGTACCAGCAGTAAACAATTAAAGATCATGAAAATCGCAGCTCGAAAGAATCGTCTTCGTTTGCTCGATGGAATCCATTGTTATTATATTTCCGTGGACAATCCGAGCGGTCAATTAGAGAGAGACATTACCGTAGATAGAAAAATTCCGGGTACTTTTCGATCGCGGCTCGAAAAACTCGCGCCACACCAGCTTGTTCTCGATAACCGTCTATCCGAAAGAGGGACTCGATCGTAGCGAATCCATCGTCGAAATGTTCGAACCGACGGTTCCAGGTGAAGATCAATTCCGGGCCGAAATTGAGGGAGCTGCTAACGTTCGGGCCGCCAGCCGCGAAGAGCATGAGGACCGAGTACGGCGCCCTCGAATGCACGATCGAGGTCGCGTCGGATCTTGATGACGCGATAAATCATATTCACAAATACGGGAGCGGGCACACCGATGTCATCGTCACCGAGGACAACAAAAGGGCCGCCCACTTCCAAAGGGAGGTCGACAGTGCATGCGTGTTCCACAATGCCAGTACACGGTTCTCTGACGGATACAGATTCGGTCTTGGCGCGGAGGTGAGTCATTAAAATCGTACACGACCAGGAACGACCGCGGTGATTCGGAATCGCATTACCGAAATGTTCGCGGCCGGGTCGCGTTGTTCCGCCCCGTATTCCCCGTCCAATCAACCCTTAAACTACATCACGGGCTTAACGATCGAGCTAACCGAATTCGATATAAAACCAAAACAAATGGGAAGATTTCGCGCGGGATCCGGCCGATCGTTCGTTTCCCGCTGATTTATAACGTTCGCGCGTCGACGCGCTCTCGCCGCCGCGTTGGGACGTCCGAGTTTCGAGAAGAATTTTTATCGGTCGGATTACGAAACGACGTTCAAGCGCGATCGCTGGGTGCTCTTCGGTAACCTTTCAGACACGGCTGAATTCTGCGCGAGGCTATTTCTCTGGACGGCAGAGTCTGATACTGTATATTCTGTCTGTATATACAGGGTCTCCCAGAAATGTCTCGCAATCCGAAAGTGGCGGGTTCCTCGGGCCATTCGAAGCAACTTTTTTCTTTACAAAAATTTTCTCCGAGGCACCGTTAACGAGTTATCAATGAAAAACAGTGACCAATGAGAGGCGAGCTCGGCTGGCGCGAGGCGACCGAGCCAATGAGCGGAACTGGGCTTCGCGCGCTGGTCGGCTGGGCCGCCTCGCGTCAGCCGTACTCGATTCTTATTGGTCACTGCTTTTCGTTGATAACTCGTTAACGGTGCCTCGGAGAACATTTTTGTAAAGGAAGAAGTTGCTTCGAATGATCCGAGGAACCCGCCATTTCCGGATTGCGAGACATTTTTGGGACACCCTGTAGACTGTTGTAAATCGATGCGAAGACAAAAGAAGTGTGAAACGATGCGTATGAAGACGATTATTTGGTTCAAACGACGAGCGTGTGAGCTACTAGAGCAAGCCACTATTGCGGCGCGTCGTCCAGAGAGACGACATCCGCGAAAGCCACTATAGTAGCGCGTCGTGCCTAAAAGGTTAAAGCGTTCGAAACGTGATCGCGTGGAAGACCGTATTTTCGCGGGACGACGCGGCTCGACGATTTTATCGAAAATGCTGATCGAACGAATCGTCTGTTCGCAAAAGGTTGGGATTTCCACCGCGAGGATCCACGCGCGTGGTCCAGTGGGCGTCGACGGTTTGCTGACCACGAAATGGGTGTTGCACGGCGATGGTCACGCGGCTGCTGATTTCGCCGAGGGCGGTGGCAAAGTATGGCTGCATCGAACCCTGCCGCTGAACGAGTCGGCATGAATCGAGTCGGTTACCGAGCGTAACAGCTTCGAACGGATCGAGACAAGGATTTGTCGTCGAGGAACAACGCCGAGAAGCGTCTGTGGATCAGCCCTCCGATCGTTGACCGCGAAATGTTCGCGGTTCGTTAAAAATCTGACGAAGTAAAGCAGCTTCCGTGGAAACCTTTCGCGCGTACGAACGGCGAAACCGATTCGATTTTCAACGAATCGCGCAAAATGTAAATTATTTTTCTCAGATAGTTGTATAGCAAAGATATTCTTCTAGAGTAAGTATTTAATGGTAAGAGTTACTGCCGATTTAAATTCAGTAGGAGACTATATTTTCGTTACCCTTTTTCGAGGAACACCAAAGAATGTTGGATAATTCACTTAAGGTGAAACGATGTATTTTGAACTGTTGTAAAGATGATTTCCACGATCGAGAAGATTTCGAATGTAACACCTTCGACGGACTCGTTTTACAGTTGTATATTTCCCTTCCTAACTTTGTAATCGAAAACGCGCGTTTGTTATCTTTAGAAACATCCCCGAAATTAGACGCCTTACCGACCGTATACCAAATTAATTAAATACAAATTAATACATTTTTTGAATTATCTGTCAATTTAAAAGTTGAAAATATATTTTAAGGACGCACAAATGTTCAGCGAAATTTTCTGCACTCGCACGCGTTAAACGCGTAAACTAAATTTCATCGCCGAGTATTTACAGATGATTCATGCCGTTTTCTCCGTAAGAAGCTGTATTGAAAACCGCACGAATTATCTGCTCCGTAAAATATAAAAATAGCGCCACTGCGCGCAGTGGCAAAACGCTCAAACTGTTCGACGGATTACCAACGGTCGAATTTGTCCAGCAGTTTCAGCGATTTGCCACGATGTCGATTGGCGCTGTACGCACCCCTGAACGGAGCTTTGCAATTTCGCCGCAAGAGGCGCCACTGCCGCGACGTTGTCGCACATGTAGATAAAGTAAATTTTTGTTTTACCAATTTCGTTGATTTTCTATTTTATTGACAATTTCGATAGATACATCGCCACAGACCTAAGTCTGTGATTTATAAAAACAGTTGATAAACCTCCAAAGACACAATTATTCAAAAAGTAATAATATATTTATTAATTTAATAAATTCGAGCCGACGTATTTAAGTTGAAGATATTAAAAATTAAATTAAATTACAAGTGTAAATTTATGTATCAAAGTTAATTAAATTATTTACACATATGTACGTATACCGCATAATGTAATTTATTCTGTCGGTATAATTTTGTTAGCAGTTTGAACGTTCGACTAATAATAATGGCTTACGATGATAATAAAATGATGAATAATAACCACCGACTAATCGGCGCTATAGAAGCACCGAAGAAGCCGAAAATAGCTTCGTAATTTTGCCGTTAGAAACGCCACTGTCGTCCATTTGTGCTTCTTGCATTCGAATAAAAAAATATTTCAATGCCTCCCTGCTGACAGTTTTCAATTTTTACGAGCTCGAATTAAAGCCGAAGGAAAGTACTTTATAACAAATTCATTACCATTTAGAAATAACGAAATCGCATACTGAAAATTTAAATTTGCTTTCACCTGTAGTCGCATGCGAGAGGATACTGAAAAACGCGAGAGTTTCCCAACTGTCGTTTCGTGATCGTGGCAGAATTCGAAAACCGGCGGCGTGATTGTCAATGGTACACGATCTCATCACGCTTTCGTAAACAGTTCGTTCGACGAAGAAAACGAGTAGTGTTAGTTAAGTATTGCGAGACTTCGAAATTTCAGTTCGACAATGGATACCATAAATGACACGAATGAAAATTTAGATCGGTCCATTCAGATGTATAATCAGGAGAATTCTCAACGAAAATCGTTTTTGAGGTTAAGCGGGAAAAACATCACTCCCAGAAGGATATTGTTACAAAATAGTCATTTACGGAAGGATCTGGACGATTCGCAACGATTGAACGATACCAATAGTCCCAAGGTATCGAACAAATCATATTTGAGTTCGAAGATGATCAAAGGTTACGATATGCTGGACATAGACAGCTCCATAACCCTAGCACCGCATGAATTACGCGATATAATGCTAGCGTCCGAGAAGAACGAGCTCACTTTGAGGGAAATGATGGAAGACAGCAGCGCGACTGGCATAATTCTAAAAGCGAAGCAACCATGGAGGGATATTATGTCTAAATTGTATTATGATTTCCTACACAGTATACAGATGAACTTCTCGGAAACTCAGGTGTTCGACATTATCGCAGACTTCATACAGAACTGCACGGATACTTTGGACATAATGAGAGGTACGAGAAATATGCTCCGAGCACGATGCTCGTTCGATCTGTACATTCTCGACAAGACGCGTGTTAATAATTCCTTTGTTTCAGGTATGCAAGCAAAAGTGGAAACCGCGGAAGCGTCGGAGGAAGAAATTGCCTTAGAGAACGAAAGGAATACGTGGAGACTCGTTTATTGTCTGTACCAGAATCGAATAAACAGCCTGAACTTTCCCACGGCGATGGAAGATGACGCGGATGATAATAACACCTATGTATCCGAAAAAGTTATAATAGACAACTTGTTTAAGGTGGAGAGATACATAAGAGAATATCAGTTGATAATCGACTGGCTCGAAAAGAATGCCTTGGATCAGGCAGACAAATTTCCATCCACGGAACAGTTCACCGATAAAACGCTCGCATGGGAGAACACAGTACGACAATTGCTCACTTACAAAGATAAAGACTCGATTCCATTTCGTTCGACCAGACCGTTGATATCGTCCTTAGATCCAGATGCTCCAATCAGAGAAGGTAAACCTCTTCATGATCTGGACAGGGAAGATGATGCAAGACTTGAAAAAAGAATGTTCATAGAGGTATAAGGTTCTTCGATGGAAGATTACACACAAAAACTGGAGTGGAGATTAAACGAGGAGATTTCAGAAAATTATTAACGTGTAACGGAGGTATTTTATGCAACAGGTACGCTGTGGAAGACTGGCGAAGGCACAGGCGCTCGCGGAACACTGTGGTCAACCCTGGAGAGCCGCGTGTTTGTTAGGTTGGATACCTTATCAGGATCCTAATTATAAAAATCCATTAACCGACACCAAATTACCGATCGAAGGGAATCCGAATAGAAGTCTTTGGAAGTTGTGCGCGTGGGAACTCTGCCAGGACAAACGCATAGGTAATAATTCGTGTTTCATTGTTATCCCTTAACCGAACAATTTCACGAGGAATCAATTTATGCCGTGCTCCGATTTAGGTCAATTTTATCGCGCCGTTTACGCGAGTCTTTGCGGAAACGTGCAACAAATGCTGCAAGTTGCGACCTCCTGGCAGGACGCGTTGTGGGCCCACATGAAAGCGTTATTGGACATCAAAGTGGAAAGAGAAATAAGGGATCTCGTAGTGAAGAATTTCACGAACATGCCTACAGACTATTGGAAGAACGAGCTGTCTCTGGAGGACGTTTTCAAAGACCTACACGCATCGAAGAATCCAATTATCCGTACACAAGCGAATATGCCGGATCACATGATCCAAAAGTTTCTGATACTGGACGAAATCCCCAAATTAATGGAGGAGATAGAGAGCATGATCGATCTAAAGATGTGCGATCCGCACTTTCTGCGGTTCTTGGCCCACCTGATATTCTTCTTCCGGCAAATCGGCAAGAACGTGAACGACAAAGTCGGCGATAAGGTTTTGATGGCTTACGTCCACGTTTTGATCGAGATGGACGACCCGATCCTGATCGCTTTCTACACTGCCATGCTGCCTCAGGAGTCTCAAGTGACCAATTACGCTTTCTACTTGGAGAATATAAGCGACTACGAACAGCGCAAGAAGTGTCTAACCGCGGCAGAGGACGCCAACTTGAATGTAGAAGCGATCACGAAGCTGGTGGTAGAGCGTATACGTTCGAAGGACACGGAAGTCAATGTTACCGACTTGAAGGGCGCTACAACTAGCGCCGATCTGGAAAAGATCAATGCATTGGACTGGCTGATATTCTATCAAAGCCAGCGGGAGGAGGCGTTATGGCAAACCAATGCTCTCATAAGATACTTCTTGATGAACGAAAAGATCGATACCGCGCGAAAAGCATTCAACAAGGTATACAAACGAATCCAGACAGTTTAGTAAGTTCTTTACCAGAATTAAATTTCACACGAATTTCTTTCAAGATTCCAGCCGACTCGATCGAGTCCGTCATGTCCGAGTATCCAACGATGGAGGGTACCCTAACTAATCTCACGATCACGAACAATTTATCGAAAAGAGCCTCTTCGGCGATCCGGGAGTACTTGTGTTACAAGACTTACTTGGACGCTCAGGAAGGCTTCGCGGAGTGGTTCTCTCATTACCATCACGGGAAACCCATCCCTCTGGAGGAACTAACTCCGTACGCCACCTTTACCGAAAAGGTCGCGTACGAGCACAAGAAGGCGCAGTATAACGTGGAAATGGAAAGGTGGAAGTGCACGATGCAACATCATACAAAGGTTTGTAAGAACAGAGGACGAACAAGAACACCTGAGAAAAATGAGAGATTAAACGAACCATTTTTCCGCAGGCTGTTAAGCAATTACTGTTCAATGTTCTGTTGTTCCCCGACGGCGGTTGGCTGGTAGACACGAACAACAACGACGGCACGTGTACGCAGGAAGAAGAGTCGCGGGAGGAAGAAATGGAGAAGCTACGGCAACTTTGTATCCCGAAAATCACGCTTCTTTTACATTCGGTGATGACCGAGATGAACGAACACGCCGGATGCATTCAATTGGCGGATATCCTTGCCTCGAAACAGCACAAGCTTTACAAGGTCTGTAACTTCGCGAGATAAAGTCTGCATATCGTGCTACCGCGGGCTTCTAGGATAATTCGACGAGTCGAATGAACAATTTTCTGCGTATTTCAGGTGTTCCAGAAGAATAGGTTGCGCGAGGTATTCAAGAAGATCTGCGAGTCCTCCTTGATTCTGATGGATCAGAAGAAGGATCCTTGGGGCTACCCGAAGTGAAGCTCTTAGAGGAATTGTAGGAATGTTAATTCCAAACGTGTACACGCAACAAGATTCGGGGTCAGAGGTCAGCACATAATCCATCGTGTCCTTTCTGTATTTAATTGTACATGAAACAGGAGATTCGGTTCGTTCTTCGCCGGATCGGAACGTCGCGAGCACCCTGTACAAAATCGCGTCTATCTTTTTTATAAAACCAGTTTATTGTCAACCACAAGAAGTGAATATAAAATTTGATACAATGTTCAATAATTCATAATCATAATATATTATATACCTCATGATTATTTAGATGCTCCTTTTTTTTACCCAATCGTTAATAAATGTAGCGCTGTCGAAGCTGTAGATTCAAAACGCGTGGAGAAACATTCGCAGAGAAAAGGAAAACTCAGGTGTAAAGGAGTAGGAGGAGGATCAGAGTGATGGGAGGGGGGAGACAATGAACGATTATAATTATCCTGAGATACTTTCCCATTGGAGAATCAATTAATTCGTCGTGACTCCACGACTGTTAAACAGCAACCGCATGCTAATTTCTTGCCGTACATAGTTATCCTTCGGACGTGGGTCTGCATACAATGGATAGATACGTACAAACTCCGATCGAAATCATTGAAAGGTATTCAAAGGAAATCACGATAGACGAAGAACAAAGGTGTGTTCATGATGCGTGGCGTACATTGGAGTTTCAATCGACGGGGCCGCTCTTCGACAACGGGCTTCTCGCATTCTTTTTCAAGCGCATCGTTAGCACGCATAGATTATTTATTAATTATACATAATAATAATACATTATTATTATGTATTATTACATTATTATTAATACAATTATACATAATAATAAGTATACATTATGTATTATATATTAATTTAATAATTATAAACGAATTGAAATTGAACATTCGTTATCTAAAGATTCGACGAGGCTTCTATTTGGAAATAAATTCTTTCATTCGTTATTGTTTTGTCGCTGTTTTTTAATCGTACCAGGAAAATACCGAATAACTGAAAAATCTTTTCTTCTTACAATATTTACTCTTGCATCGTAATCAAACCTTTCGCGTTAAAATTTCCTTTGAAATTAGAATGGTTCGCTCTAACTAATAACGAGCGTATCTACTCTTGTTTCTTCGGGTGAAAGAAATCTAGACGCGCGTAACCGGCTGCGAGAATATCGGCTTTCCAATCGCGTTTACGCGAAGAAAATGTCCCGCGGTCGTCGTCCGACGAGCGTCCCCGTTTTCCTAATCGTCTATTTTCCCAGGGGGGGTTAATGATGCTTTTGCTGGCGAGAGCAGTCTTTTTTATATTCTTTTTCCCATTATATTTATGTTTATACCTCGTACCGTAACTTCGTGCTTCGTTTAATATGTGCAGGACACGCGCTCGCGTCCCTCTCTCTGTGCGGCTTTGATGCGTACTCGTATGCGTGTTCTCGTTTTTTTCCCTCGTTCGCTTCTCGAAAGACAAAGATATTCGTGATCTCGACGCCACAAAGCGCGAACGTTTGCCGTTTATCGTGCACATTATAATAGACTATATACGAAGGAAATGAACGCCTCGCGCGGAAACCGGCTGGCCGCCGAAGTTTCCTCGTTCCGAAAACGAAGGAAACGACCGAGCGAACCGATGGCTCGCCGGCTCGTTTTAAATCGACTTTCTCGCGCGCAATTGTCCGGTTGAACGTCAACGTCGCGGAAACGCTCGAATAAACCAGGGAAATGAAAACGGGAAACACATTCTCGGGACGCGTTCGCCCGAACTGCCTCCTCCTTTTGCTTCGGGGCTCTCGGTTCAACGGGAGTTCGATTGGGTTTTCTTTTTTTTCAGGCGATGTTCCACGGAAATCGTCGAACAAACACCCTCAGAGACACGCATACTCTCTCTCTCTCTCTCTCTCTCTCTCTCTAGTCACTTAGAAAAGCTATTTTGAAATCTTACTCAAACTTGAGCTTGGATCTTGAATATTTAAGCGAAACCTAAGAGCTCCGGATCCAATGTTAACGCGTTATGTTTCATAGACGGTTCTGCTCGCTTCGCGAAACCGCGACACGGTTGGCCGATCGATTCGATCGTCCGCAACGATCCAGACGCGTCCGGCGCTTGTCTCGAATTTTCGTGAAATTTTTATCCCGATAACGTCCCATCGTTTGTTTCCAAAACAAAGGTTTTCACCCCGTAAATCGGCGAGAAGAATCCGCATCGATGTTCTCGCGAACGCGCGAGCGTCTAGATCGAGCGTGCGATCGATCGAACGATTCCGTCTCCGTCGTAGGGAAACAACGATCGAAGCTTCTTAACCAGTTAGCTGTGTTCGACGAGTATACTCGTCATGGAGAAATTGCAATATTTTGTGACGCGACGAGTATACTCGTCGCGCGTAAGAAGTAGCGACCATTGGCTATTTAAATTGTAATTTTAAGGAAAGCAAAAACATATTCTCAAATTTCAAGACGTTCAGAATATTTTGAGGCGAATCCTGCGCGAAGTTGTTTACATTGTTATAAAAATAAAATTAGAAAAGAATCACGGTATCGGTGTTCGACGTGCGAAGTGTCATTATACATTGTTCCTTGCTTTGCTAAATACCGCTCTCTCTACAGCAGCAATTTGAATTTTTAACTTTTACAAGTATTCGATTATTCCTGATTTTTTCGTTTATTATGTATATGGTATATGTTGACGTCAAGCGAATAAGTAAATATTAGTAATAAAATTGTTAATTTTATCAAGTAGACCCGTCTTTTCGATCCAATATTTTAACAGCGACACTTACATTGTATTTGACGAGTATACTCGTCGCTTGATTCTCGCGACACATATAGGTACGCGTTCTGAAAAGGAGGCGTCACAGCTAACTGGTTAAAAGTTACCCCGAGTTTCTATGCAAACGAGTCGCGAGGCTCGAAGAATCGCGACTTGGTGTTCTATGATCTGCCGGTTTCGATTCCGATCTCCGAACATTTCTGGGAGAAATTACTGAGGGACAATTGGAGAGAATTTACCGTATACCCGAAACACGCGATCCTCGGACACGAAGTGCTGCCCGGGGCCGCGGCTCGTAACATTTTCTTTCCCGTATTGAAGTAATACGAAATGGAGTATTCGCGTTTCCTTTGATGCGATTCAATCTCGTTGTAACTGGTTGTTACAACGTTGTTCTCAACTGGTTAAGAAGCCGGCGCGTCTCGTCCCGCGGGTTCGCGAAACGAGCGTTTGTCGAACATCGTTTCTCGATCCGGGGAAGATCGTTGTTCGGAAAACGAACGAAAAAAGGAGGAAATGGAAAGGACGACACGTGCAACGATATACACACACAGACACACGTGACCGGAAACGCAGCATGCTGCAACGACGTCGTAATTCGAGCTCGTATACATCTTTGTATGCAGTCAGCAGGTTCACGATCCCGTCGAGCGATCGATGGATCGTCGACGGCGCGTGCTTCCCGGGGCCCGAGAACGAGCGACGCCGCGCCGATCTTTCTCGGTACATCTCTTCTCGTTGGTATCTCGCGCTCGTCGGCTTCTCGGACCGGGAAACGCCGGACAGACGCGCGCGCAAACACACAAGGATCCCGACGATCGAGCGTTGTGACTTTTACAGTAATACGAGTACACGATTAATAGAATTATCTTGTTGATTAACCTAGTCTAACACGTAAACGTTGAAAAAAACGGTTGACAATTGTTTATCGTTCTCGATAAGTGACTACGATTTATTATTTTTCTCCTTATTCGCCGTTTAGTTCGCCGCGAGAGCTTGATAAATTCGCCGTAACTCACCCCTTGCCCCCTCAGACTTTTCATCGTTGCCTCTCCGTCCGACACCGCGTTCTCCCATTCACGGTTACGATTATTTTCTTCTTCGAACACGCGCTCTTCCTTCTCTTCTTCATCGGCCGCCCCTTCTTCCTCTCTTCCTTGCTTCGTTTCGCAATCGTTTCTTCGCGTTAGCTCGCCGCGCAACTAAGTTATTCGCTACAGGATACTTTCTAAATCGCTAATGGGCGCGTCAGCGTGTTCGGAAACGATTTATCTACGGATATTTTGGAAATGGTACTCATGGACTCCTCCCCTTCGACTCCTCGCACTCGCGTCCGACCACGAACGGACCGATTCTTACATTTCTCGGTTAATTAACCGCTTCGACCGACGTTTCGTCGATCCACGAGCGACAGGAATTTTGTCTTCCGCGTTGAAATCGCTCTCCAACCAGCCGGCGCCTTCTCTAGGACACGACAAGTCGTCGAAGCGTCGACGTTTCGCGGCTTCCGGCTCGCTTTTCTCGGTCTACGCGCTTCTATCCGTCTCCCGCGCGTGCCCCAGCGGCGTCCTTTAAAATATACAACCTCGACACTGTTAACGCAACTCAGGACGGTCTATCGTAACAAATAAGTGTACTTATCGTGTATCCGTTTTGTACATGATTTCACTTTCGAGCGTACTGCGCGCCACGCCGACGCCGCTGGAGTTCGCATCTGTACATTCTTCTCCCGAACGAACGCGGCAACGGTAAGCCTCGAAACTCTCCTCTCGACGCAGATTTCTGCACGTTCGAGAGCTTCGGTTCGCGAATAGGAGAGCGTTGGGTCCGCTGGAAAATACCGTCCATCGACCGTCGTCGTTTCATCGACTTTTTCCACCCGCTCGACGAATCCGGTAATTCGTTTGTTAGCGCCAACGGTGCACAGGAAATATATGTATGATAAGAGGAAAAATTCATGATACGATGGATCGAGGATATTTCCGAGAAAATGTACCGAGCGTGGTTTAAATCGCAAGCTGGATAGCACTTTCCGGTAGACCCCATGGAAAACAACGAATAGGCGAAGGTATTCCTTCACGACGGTGAAAGAGATACCCGAGCATATAGTAATGTATCTCTAATTGACGCCCAGATTGACCACAGAAATGGACAATTTGGGAAGGGGAGATACGATCGTTCGAGCCTTGCGGTTTATTTTTATAGTTATAAATTGTCCACAATTATGAAAACGAGCCGCAAGGCTCGAATAATTGTACCTCGTCTTCCCAAGTTGTCAATTTTTGTTTCCAAGCTGAGGATTCCAAGCTCAGAATTCCAAGCTCAAGATTTCAAGCTCAGAATTCCAAGCTCAAGATTCCAAGCTCAGAATTCCAAGCTGAGGATTCCAAGCTCAAGATTCCAAGTTCAGAATTCCAAGCTCAGGATTCCAAGCTCAGGATTCCAAGCTGAAGATTCCAAGCTGCAAATTCACAGCTGAGGATTCCAAGCTGAGGATTCCAAGCTGAGGATTCCAAGCTCA